GGGAGGACAGTAAAGTAAATAATGCCGTTTCAAAAGTAAAGGTTGTTGCTGTTGATGGTGTTTAGCTGATCTATACAGATTATAATGCATCAGATGTGTTTATCTCATGTTCAAGTTCCCTCTACAATGTATGGAGTTAGGGTAAAAAGTTCTGTTTCCAATAATCCTGCACCTCTGCAATGAAGCCCCTGCAGTGCATGGTACCGTTTTATGACAGCTGGTGGAATGATTGTGCTGTTGTTAGGGTCGAGATTCTCCATCTGAGCCCCAGGATGTTGAAACTGAGCAGCATGAGACTGATGCCCGGCTGTGATGCAACGTGTGTGTGTGTCCTTGCCCTCTCCTTTAACCTCAGAGGGATTGTCTCTCTCTGGGCTCCTCCTCCCCATGTAGCTCCACTCTGTATATTAAGCTGCAATGAGACTTTTTCATTTGTCAGCATTGCCACCGTTTGCCTGTAGACTCTGGGGTCTGGTGTGGCCTTTAATGCTTTGGTGCTGATAAGATGTGACAGGATGAGGTTAATCTAGGCCAGTAGTTAATGGGTTGGATCACCAAGACTTCATAGTAGCCTGTTTACCTACAAAACCCCATATTACATATATTTACATTTAAATGTAATGCCAATGTTTGTTTGCCAGTGTTTCTGGTTAAGTTAAGAGGAGGATAATGGTTAATTTACGTAAACACATGATTTGCAGGTTTGTGACTGTAGGCTACCCTCTGTCTCCTGAATGAAACGCCTCAAGTCCCTCACCCGTATTTTGGTCTGACTACATATTTTACTAGCAACGGATATATCAGTGGCATTTTTGGTCTTCACAGTAACTTCTAACAACAAGGTTTAGATAGACAGTGGAGAATAATGCAGAATTTTAAATGCAGTGTAAATGTGGTCACTTAGAATATTAGAGAAGAATCATGAGATACTGAAGGAGTCACGGCTGAGTGTTCTTTGAGGTAGACTTTAATTAGACTTATTTAAGATTATTTAGTTTATGTAGTTTCACCTGAGTATTAAAATGTATCATGTTTGTCTAGGAGATATAAAAGAAACAGCTATGAGATCTCTTGGATTTTGCTTTCCCATGGGTGGATATTCGTTGTGAGCTGCTTCCCTTTCTCCTAATTTGAAGCACTCATACTTTTGTGGTATTGTAATTTAATATGTAAACATAAACTTGCAGCTTATTGTGAACACCCATTCCCTCCCTCGTTCCTTCACCAGACAGGCTTGTGCAGAACAATGCAAATTATTGTTGTTGATGAGTGTTAGTTGAGTGGTGTCTTAGACATCAGTCAGGCTTCTAGCAGGATTGCTTTATGAAGTCAGGCGAGGTATTATGAAGAGTGAAAAGTCAATGTAGGAAGCAGGTTGTGGTGGATAAATGAGTCAAGAATTTGAATCCAGGAGACCAAGGTTTGAAAAAAAATTTTGCCTAGTTAATCTGAAATGATTTTATAGTCCATGTTTTTATAAAATCCCCCTAAAATGGCTTGAATTACTGTTCACATGTGTGAGTTTTGAGTTTAAGTTTGAATGATTAACTGAACTGGTGTTATTTTTTCATACTTTGCATGTCGGCTTTGTCAGAGTTCTGTTAACCATCAATCTTCAGACACAAGACCACAACTTTTCAAAATAAAAGCTCTGCAGCTCAATATAAAGCATTCCTGCAACAACACGAAGGTTATGCTTTTAATTCGTAGAAAAATTGCGGGGAGTAATTCAATGAATGTTTCTGCCATGATGGAGATCAGCACCTGTGATTCTTGTTAATGACTGTGTTTGAAATAATATCGTGAATTAAAAATAATTACAGTATGAAAATGATCTGGCGGTGGTTGCTGTAGTTTATCAGAGGATGTAAAAGAAGATATGTTCAACTCAGTCCACAGTCGCCTGTTCATTCATATTGAATCTATTGCACGTTCATATTGCACTAAATTCAATACTGTGCTTCCTTGGTTCTTTAAGAATACACACAGGTCAATAAGATGAACAGTTTGTAACATATGCGTTCCAGAGACAGACAGAAAGACATTGGGGGAATTGGTAGCTAAATATTCAGTTTCAGTAACCACACAAGCATTTAGCCATATGGTATAAATGTAATGAAGATTTTTTTCATTTATCCTGTAAAATATCTCAATACCTGCTTGATTGATGGCACATTCATATAAGTGTTCTATGGACTTTGGTAATCCTCTGACTTTTCATCATTATCTTGTAAAAATGTCACCTCTACAAAATGTCCACTACTTTTTTACTAATACCATTCCCATTAACAAGTCATAGAATACTGGAGAAAAACATGAATCACTCACGAAAATCATATTCTCATTCGAAATTGCATTTTGAAAGACTTTTTCCCGGGTCAGACAATATCTGTACTGTTCGTAGTGCCAGTGCTTTCTCTTAGCATGTGATGTGCATCTGAACATTTGTTTGTACATGTTTCTGTGCAGAAGAGTTTTTCGGATCAAGGTGGGACAGGAGTTAACACCTAGTTCCCTACCAGGCAGTCGTGTTTTATCTTCCCAGTGGGCACAGATCTGCTCCAGCGTGGGTTTGATTATTCTCCATCAGCCGTGCTGATGTGGGTGGTGGTGAATCTGCTGCAGAGGGAAAGATGCACTCTGGCTTGAACGATGTGCTTTTTGTGTGTGTACGTGTGTGTGTGTGTGTGTGTGTGTGTGTGTGTGTGTGTGTGTGTGTGTGTGTGTGTGTGTGTTTACATATTGTGTGTCATCACACTATATAAAATCAAATCTCAACAGGTCACTGCAAAGTAGAGCAGGGTTAGACTTCATCACAGTAAACTGATACTAAGCCGCCTAACAGATTAGACTGGCACCGTCTGCGTGTTACATTGTGTCTTTTGATGCAGTTCATCGGTGTGGATGTGAGAGTGAAGCTATTAAAGCATGTTTCTGACTGCGACCACATCCAGACCTCGACCTGACCCCATGACTGTAGGGTGGAGGGAGAGGTGGAGGGAGAGGTGCAGGGAGAGGTGCAGGGAGAGGTGCAGGGAAAGGTGGAGGGAGAGTTGGAGGTCACAGGAAAACTCTCAAGATTTACTACTGCCCCCTCCCCACTCCACAACCATCAATCAACAATTGCATTTTGTACAGAAGTGAAAGGCAAAGTCTGTGGCAGCTTAACACAACACACACACATGCACGCACACACACACACACACACACACACACACACACACACACACACACACACACACACACACACNCACACACACACACACACACACACACCCAGTCTACTAAAGCTCTGCAACATCTGTTTGTGCTTTCAGGCCAAATGAGAGTTTCAGAACAAACACCCATATCTTCTGAAGCATATCACCAATTTACAGAACTAGACACTTCTGCTTTTGTCCACCTCTTAAGAGTGTGTGTGAGTGGGTGTGTATGTTGAAAGTGTGAAAAAGACTCAAAAACACAGGTCTCAGAAACTTTTTATAAATAACGCCAGTATTTTGGAAGATTAAGTTAATACATTTGATGGGACATAAATTCTGCTTTTGCCTAAACTGAAAGGTAGGAGATTACAGGCATAACGACAGATGTAAATGATTTTCAATCCCTTAATCGTACGCACACACTAGATGATCCAGCCGAGACACACGACCACACTCTAGGCGTTCAAACACACACTTTCTAAGAAGCCATTCTAGACACTTGGAAACTCACAGAAACTTGCGTGATCAAATGTGACTTCTACTTATTCAAATTCCACAAATGTCTGTCTGTCTGCATGTGGAACATATCTCACAAACATAGGCAGCTGAATGCAATTGTTCTTGGGATGTTGTGCACTGAAAAACATGATAAAAGAAAAGAACAAGCACTCACACGGTTTGTCCTCCTTTACTATGTCTACATCGTGCAGGAGTCACAGGTCTTATTAACATGTTTAAATTCTAAACACAAAAACCCAACATCTGTTTTTAGGCACTACCCGGTCAGCTTGCTCTTACTGTCTAATGCGGATTTCTGCTTACGCGTCCAATCGCTGTTCCTTTCATACCGCACCATCGGTTACCATCGGTTACCGTCTGTAACATTAAGATTATGTCCGTAAACCCTTCACATTACAGGATAATTTGGCTAGATAATCTGTTCCTTTCTTGAGTGATTTAGATCCTCAAAACGTATGGATCGGCGGAGTGACTATCACAAGGAGCACTTTCTGAACATAAACATGCAACCCCCTGCTCAACTTTATCCAGTTACAATGATAAATGAATAAAGAAGATCAGAAAAGGTCTGCCTTACTTCGGCTGCAAACTTCTGTTTTAGAGTAGTTTCAGTCAATATGTAACATTCAAACATGTAAAATACTGCAGTTCTTAGGTGGAAAGTATTTTGTTTTGACAGAGAACGTTTGTTTGCTAGCCATGGGACAGAAAGCCAACAGGATATGTTGCACTTAAAGACATTCACTTTATTTGTCTAACCCAGACTGCTGAGGCCTCACACACTCACATTTTGGCACAGAATGAAGATTTTATCCCCATTACTTACACTACAGTGCAAAAGTTGTGGCTATGCGACACGCAACCCGCGCATGCCTTTGGGCGAGAGTGTGTGCGGTTTCCTGTCGTGTCCGTGAGAATTTGAACGCACCTCCGATGATGCTCTCAGAGGACATTTAGACTTAAACACAGTGTAAATGATGCTGTTTCAAGTCCAATATAAATGTTGGGGCTTCCGGACACTCGGATGACATCACACGAGCAGTATGGAGGCATTTTTTGTCTCTGAAGCACTTAAGTTGTGTAGAATTTGAGGCTCCAAAAGTGTTTTGTGGAGTCAAACACTTCACCCACCCATCTGCATAGTGGAGAGTAGATAATGAGTGGTGAACTATCCCTTTGACACAGACCAAACAAACAGGCAGGTTTAGGAACCCCCCCCCCATCACAGGTTTTGGCCCCTTCCTGTGCACCTGCACGCTCAGGGGGGCGTTTCTGGGCTCGTGCGCTCCCGCGTGGCGCAGCGCGGCGCAACGGGCGGACCGACGGCACTGCGCGCGGCGGGTCTGCAGCGACCTGTCTCTTTAAGTCGGTGTCAAAGCCGATTAGCGCTGATCTCCGCCGCGATTCTGTTTTCACCGTCTGTTCCCTCCGTCTATTTTGGTGCCGCGGTGCCGTCGCTCGGAGACGCTTTCTCCTCTTCGTCTTTTATTTTATGATACTTTGCAGAAACACTCGTCGTCTCGAGCCAACTCCGCATCAAAGTTTGCAGCCCGCAACGGAGGCGAAGTGCGGTGGTGTCCCGGCGGCTGCGCTCGGTGGGACAGCAAAAGCCCCAAATGTGGTGAGTGGGGATGTGACACTCCAACTTTTTCTACCATGGTAAGCCTGGATTACCTCTCCCCGCAAAGCGCTTTCTCTTTGGTATCCCTCCGCTGAAGAGACGGCCAGTGAGAGCAGATCTGGGGACGTGATGCGATGTGACTGAAGTTGGCACCGAGCAAAAGACACAACCCCGGGGCAACATAAAATGCAGAAGAGCGTGCGGTACAATGAGGGCCACGCTCTGTATCTGTCGGTGGTTGCGCGTAAAGATGGCACCAGGCGCGGCTTCCTGAGCAAGAAGACCACGGAGAACAGCCGCTGGACCGAGAAGTACTTCGCCCTTTATCAGAACGTGCTCTTCTACTTTGAGAACGAGCAGAGCGCGAGGCCCTCCGGTATTTACCTGCTGGAGGGATGCACGTGCGAGCGCGCACCGGCGCCCAAGGTCTCCGCCATCAGCAAAGAGCCCATGGAGAAACAGCAGGTGCGTCCCTCCTCACACAAGTTCAAGTACTGGCAGTATATAGTACAAGTACGAGTCCTGCAACCCCGCTCAAGTATAATAAGTACTGAAGAAGTTATTATGTGCAAAATGTACTAAAGTAAACACACGTTTGTACAATGTCTTCACATAAACAGACCACACACGTATATGTATTCGTACCAATTCACTGGCTTCAAAAATAAGTTGGGATAATAACAAGTCTTAGCTAAGGTCTCAAAGAAGATTTATATACAGCATAAGTTTGAATGTAAAATTTTTATTTGCAAAAAACTAGTATGTTACTTTTTTCTTAAAACAACAAAAATGCAGTAAAAAGTACACGCTACTATTTGATATTTCAGTATTTATGTTCTGTTTTCTGTGTGTGTGACAAAATGACCTCATGCAACTGATGATTATTTCATTGGTCTGCAGGTTATTTTTTAAATTCATCTTCAGGTCTCTTAAATGACACAAACTAGTGAAACATGCCATAACAACTTCAGATGAAGACATATTTAAAATGCTGAAATATTCAGTTGATTGTCACAGAAGATGAAGAGAATTAGATGATATTCATCTTGAAAGATTATCAAAATTATTACCAATACATCTTCATTATTCAGTCAACATGTTCAGCTTTGAGCAGCGTCTCAGTCTTCACCTTTCATCCTCCTGCATGGTTTTGGTCCTTTCTATCCTCCCCTCAACCTAAATGTGACGTAAACTCATGTAGAACTAAAACAACCTATTGAGTAGTCGATTGAAAGAAAATGAACAGACAGCTAACATAATAATTTAATCCTAATCAGTGACTTTTTTAACAGTGCAAACTGAATGTTGTGTTTTGGAGACATTTGAACTTTTTACAAGAAACAAAAATCATTCTTTATTTGCAGCTACTGACTTTGTTTCAATTTGCTGAGAAACTTCACCTTCTATGATAAACTTCCATGTTTTATAGTAAAAAATTAGTTGCTTCACTGTCATTTGCTTGTGTGGAAATGAATGCCACCCCCAGAGAATGTAATGAGGTCGACATATAGAGCCTGGAACTGTTTATAACTTCATTGTGAACGGATTTCATGCTAATGGTAATAGTTGTTCTGCAAAAGCTATAGCATCATAATGCAAATTTTAAATGACCCATATTTGTGTTTTTGCTGCTGCAGGATATAAAGATGTGTCTCGTCCCATCAGCAGCTGGCATAATGCAGATTCTTATAAAATATTATAGTGTTCTCAGAGTGAAAAAAAAGCTAATTTCCTCCCACACATGACTCCATGATTCTGTTCAGATGCAGTTTGTTTAAAAATTTTTTTTAGATAGGAGCTGGATTACATGAGTCAAATCTAATCTCATCATTACTCAGGTAATCTGTCACGCCTTGTTGGATACATGCTGCCTGTGACACCCTGACCCAGACTTCACATGCTGTGTTGAAGCGGCAAAATGAGCAGACGTGCTTTAGTGGGGTGGGAATTGTCGTGGCAATTCTGCAGTCCAACTCTGACAACGAGGAACGAGACAAAAATCTCTTACAGTATTGTCACACTTCAATGCTCAGAGCCTGGTACACAAGACAGGGGTTAGTTTGTAATATGCACGCCGATGGGAAGCTGTTCTTTCTCTTTATACAGTTGGTTCGTTCCTCCCCTCTGGTTGAGGTTGTTTCTGAGCCAAAGGTCAGGATCTAATGATGACATCAGGGCAACAATGCCTTAGTTTAGGCAACCAGATCAAGGTTCATTCAGTTGCACAGGATCCAGCATGATCAAGGTTACATTGTTAAGATTCAGTCATGATCAATCATAGGGGAAATGAACATGAGTACATTCTGCATGATGTTACATTTCTCTTACAGAATCTACTGAGGTGATCTGGTGATTGCTGTGGTTCTAGTTTGAAGCTCAGGTTAATATTTTTAAACACTTCACATGTTCATAGACAGGTTAACATCTTTCTCTGTGTTATCACCCTGGGCTTTTATATTTTTATTTTCCATGTGGAATTTATTTTAAAAAACTAATAGGAAGGGATGTATTGGACAATACAGGTAGCTCTGACTCCAAAACTACATGTTCCAGATCTGACCACTACTCAACAGTTATCATCATCATTATTATTATTATTATTATTGTTTATTGGTGCTGCTAATAACATAATTACATCTATTTTTCACTGTTATTTGAAACCAGCTGAAAAATCCACCCATCTCTTTGTACCTTGCCCCGTTCTGCTGTTAGCTCACCGCATTCATGCATAGACAGTTTATTGTACCTGTTGCATAATGATCCTGATGTGATTTTTCTTGTTAACCCAATGCATATAGTGTATAACTGCAATCAAGCCAATAGATAATGCACTAAATGGAAAAAGAGGAAATCAGTTGATCCATTTCCAGATCTTGCTGCAGTATACATCTTGTATGCATCTACAGTAAATGTGGGCACATATTTTCAGGTATGTGCCGTGACAAGGTTTTCAGAAAATGTGGGATAATTGCAAATATTATCTCTGTATACCTGTTATTTTAGTTTCTAAACAGTCTATTAGGAATGCAGCCTGAGCAGATTTCCTTCTTTTTGCCCTGCAGCATTCACAACTGTACCATCAACAGAGTCGGTGTATGTGTTTTGCCTTTGCATTTTCCCTGTGAGCAACACCTGGGTCCTCACTCCCGCAGGGAAACACTCACAGTGCAGCCTTAACTCCTCAAACCTAAATGAACCTTAGTATTTCTGTAGTACTTTTAATACTAAGCAGCTAACTGCTAACTTTTCACATTAACATTAATGCAAAGTGGATATTTCATTGTACATTTACAACGTATGAAGTAGAGTTTCGTCATCGACTAGAGAACACTCTACCATGTTGTGTTCAGTGAATCCTGTTAAGCACACAGGTGTTGCATGCAGAGAGGACAGACTCTAAAGTTTGGATTGTAAGATCTAACTATGTGACATTCAAGGGCCGTGCTTTCCAGTCTTTTTCGTTATAATATATGTTTTGTGCCTTCTGTCTTAAAACAAGGGAAATGTAGTTTGCCAATAAAAGTAACTGTTTTCAAAAGAAAACCGCTTCGAGAAATGACTGCAGCTTCAAGGAACAAAGATTAGTGATGCTGTTTTAGAGTCAAGTGACATTCTGCTGTAAAAAGTAAGTCCATAACATAAACAGATGAAATAGTAATCAAACCAGTGTCACTAAAAACATTCATTAAGGCTCTATCTTAACAGAGCACAACCTTAAGTTTTCTTTGTTGTATTGAGGGAACACGATGACTGACACTATGTCAGCAATGAGTATTTTCATTATAGATAAATCTGACTATTTCAATTATTTATTTAATTACGCTGTAAAATGTCATATAATGTTGGAAAGTTACCCTCCTAGAGTGAAAGGGAGGTTCACAAAAATACTGCCCCTCATGATACATTCTTTATCACCTAAGCTGTAAATAAATGATTTATTTATTCATTAGGCCAGGCAGCAATGAAAAATGCCAACACAGTTTTCGAGAGCTGGAGTTGACATCATCACTTCTTCGTCAGATGGACAATCCAAACCCCAAAGATACTCAGTTACAGCAACAACGCCACGATAAAGAAAAGCAAAACACTATTCCAGAAACTGGAAATAAATTCATATTTTGCCTAATTTTGTTGCACTTCCATGTGACACTTTTAAAGTAGTGTTGTTGAAAACAAAGTAACTGCCTCTACAATTCAAACTAGCTGGGCGTTTGTCAGCCAAAGCCAATGTAATAACTTGCAATGTTGAAGAAAGTGAAAAATAATTCCAGGATCCACCTCTTTATCCAAACTGCCCCAAAAATGTAAAGGTCTGCCCCATCACTAACATTCATGGAGATGTGTACAGTAGTCTCTGAATAATCCTGCTCACAGACAAACAGAGATAATGAAATTATAACTTTGTTGTCAGAGGTAACAATCATAATTAGTGGCAGCGACTTGGTTTGTTCATCAGTAACGTGGGTCTTGATGTGTGAAGAAGCTGTGGTCTGTCACTCTGCAGCTGAGAGGAAGCACATTGAACAGAGTAACAAGGTGCACGACACAAACTGTCCTTGTTTGATCTCCACCTAATGAGGGCGGCTTACATCTAAGGCTGAGCTTTAATGGAGCTACATTAAAGTCCGACTGATGGCAGCAACAGTTTTTATTCAGTCTCTTGTATCCATGACTGAGTCTGGTCCTGATAATCTTGTTAATCAACATGACTCTGATCAGTATGTTGATCTCAATATCCAATTACATTTTCCCAAATCTACATTTAAGTAACTCAAATTGAATCTAAATTTCAAGTATGTTCTTTTTGAAATATGGCAGATTTTTGGATCAATTATATGTCAGTCAAATATTTAAGTGTTTAAATACATTCACGGGCCATTTCAAGGCCTTCATTTAAATTGTCATGTTCTTTATTTGCTTCCATTTTGTTTTTAGTTTTATGTGAGACTAAATGTTTCTTTGTGTTGCTAAATTCACTTTTGTTTGGGTCAGACGTTTTACGCAGGGTGTTTAAGATGACACCTGATTAGATGAAAATATACATTTCTTGGCTGTCATTGGTCTTTGCTTGTAGTTTTCAAACTGCTCAAAACATGGATTGAAAATGGAGACTACTATGCCAGAAGTTTTCAGACTCAGGTTCATCTCATCGAGGCTGTGGAGGGAGAGATGTGAGGCAAAGATGCTGCGAGAGGTTAGAAGAGAGACGTAGAAAGGTGCTCCGAAAAAAAAAAAAATCAAATCTGATCTGACTGCCTGTTGCAAAAACAAATAAAAATCATAAATCTACTTAGAAACCGTACAAAACCAAAGAATCATCAGGTTTTTATCAGTGTCACACATTTTGCTACACACTATGAGAGAAGACACAGTGTTCTTTTGCGTTGTAATATTTGATGTAAGAAGTACATTTTACCACTAGACTGGAATGTTTAATGTCTTATTAGTTCATGTGGGCTGGTCAC